CAATTAGCAACATTATGGCGTACTATTAAATTCATTATGGCGTGTCGCCGGACTTACAAAATACCACCACCCCCCACCTCCCCCTCTCCCTCCCCCCCCCCCTCCGTTTGATACAACTCGGCTACCCTGATATATCAAGTTACACCATATCATGTCGGATCAACCACTTCTAGTTCGGCCAATAATGAGCGTTTGATGCTACCATATAATACACCTTTCTGTCTAATGGTAAAGGAAAAGATAGAAAACTTCTATCTTTATTCGAAGTGAATTTTAACTAATTGTAGTTCGAAGCGTAAACTGGATTAAATGTATTGTAGAACAGCCAATATTACTATTTGAGAGGGGGGAAGTGAGGCGAAGGGAGGGCAAAAAAGTAGGAAAGGTGAGAGAAAAGGAGAAGAAAGGTGAGAGATTGTGAAGAATGATATAAGAAGAATCTGGAAATAAGAATACAGACCAGAGAGTAAGAAAGAGAGAGTAGCAAATAGACGATGAGAATTTGAGAGAAAGGACATGACAGTGATAAGATTAAGCAAATGAAAGACTCAGAAAAAGATGTAGAGCGAAAGAGAGGAAGAAATAGAGAAAAGTAAAAGAGAGTAGTGAGAGTACGTATGTCCCCTTCCCCTTCATTCTTCTTCGCTCATCTTTCATGACCTTATTTTCTCCCCAAATACACCGAGAAAATACTGAACACGTGCAGTAAAAATACGAGGTCTTGGACGGGTCCATCCAACTTCATAAGTCTTTGTGCATGGATGCGTGAGTGATTTCGCGAAATGCTTGTTGGAAGGAGTGGACTTATTTAGGCGTGCTCCCGAGGGGAGAGGACGACGGGAGGGGAGGGGCCGATGGGAGGAGGTAGGGTGAGTTTAGTGGAATTGGGGGAGTAGGGCCGAAAGTGGAGGGGGGAGGGTTGATGTTAAGGTATGAGGGTGGTAGGGCGAGGGTGTGAGGGGGAATGGGTGGGTATAGGGTCGCGAGTGGCGAGGGGATCCTATCGAGCGAGATTGATTAGAGGAGGGGAGGAGGGCAATGACGGAGGGGCAGGCGACGTTGTATCTGAGGGAGAGGGGGGACTGAGGCCAGAGGCGAATGGGAGGGTCAAGAGAGGTGAGAATTGTAGTGTCGTGAACAGATCATTTGGGGGCAGGAGCGTGTTATGGATGGGTGGTGAGGAGCCTGAAAAATAAGGAGTACTTGCTTACAGTTATAAACTTTACAATGCCTGTTGATATTAGATTATAAAATTCGAGCTTACTTTCATTATTCACTTTTTATCGGGTCGTTCCTCTCGTTTTGTCATATATGATCGTTCTCCATTTTTTGTGTAATACAGTCTTATTGTATTTTTGTTTTCCTTTCTCTTCTGTTCTTCCCTTTTATATCCTGTAATTTAATCGTTTAAATCGTAGTTATTATCATCGTAGTGTTGAGGGCCACTTTTTCTCCCTTGTGTCTTCTATGCTCGACCTCCTTCATATAATCTTTATTTTAACAATCGCAATCTTCCCTTTTCTCCTACTTCTCCTTTTCGTCCTCTCTGGTACCTCTATACATATTACACAACCGACAATCAATAATTCCATTACTCATCACGCATTCCAATTCAATTTCATTCCATCCATCTCACCACCACACAACCACCCGACTCTACCATCCACCACCATCCTACACTCCTGGACCCATCGAGCAACCACCACCACCATCCTCTCTCATTCTACCCTTGCGGTGTTTCTTCAATCCCCCTGGGCGCCACACCGCCCACTTCTGTTACCTTCGCCGCCCCCTCCCTCCCCCCGCCCACACAACACACCACTCTCAGTAAGGACGTTGAACAGTCAAGAATTACAAATGAAAGTTCTTTGCTTTGTGCGATTGCGATTTGAAGATGGTGTCTGGTGTATAATGGCTGTGTGCTTCATAGCTTTGCCTATTGTGTGTGAAGTCTGGCAAAATGCCCGAGGGAGCCTTGGGTGAATATTTGTGTTTGCCCTGGCGGGTGCTATTGTGCTGTGGCTGTCGTGTGTGTGGTGTGTGTTGTGGACTGTGAGGGGTGGGGGGAGTGAGTGAGTGAGTGAGTGAGTTGAGGTGAGTGCTTGAGGTGATTGTGCAAATTTGTGCGTGTGAGTGTTTGAGCTGATATAGTGTGCGTGTGAGTGTGTTGTGTGTGTGTTGTGTGTGTGATTGTGTTTACATAATAGCAAGAGTATCAATTTGTCCTGTGGGAGTTTGGACTGTTAGTATCCTGACTTGTGCTTTATGTGTGTTGAGTGGAGTGATCCTTGTAGAGCGGTCGTGCGTAGTGCAGTGCTCTAGTGAGTGAGGTAGTTGCTGATGTGTGAAATGTGTGGTGAGGTTACGAAGTGATAGAGTGAAGGATAACAGTGATGTAGGACTGTGAAAGTGAGTATTGGCGTGTTGTGTGTTGTGCGACATCTGACTCTGGTGATTTTTTCCTTCCTCCAATGGTGTGTCAGATGATGTGAAAGGTGAATGTAGAGAAGCCTGTGCAGTGTAATTATGATTGAGATAGATGTTGTGTGTGTGTGTGAGTGATGTGAGTCGAGGTGTGTGTGTGTTGTGAGTGTGTGATGTGTGAGCCGACGTGTAGTGATGTAAGATTGTGTGTGTGCCTGTGGTGTTGTTGTTGTGTGTGTGTGGCTGCTGGTGGTTGTGTTGTGCGAATGTGTGAATGTTGAATTCGTGCGGATATCGTGAGCTGTGACGCGTTGGGACTCGTGGTGATCTTGAACTCGCGGCACTCGGCTACTGGATCCCGTACCAGTACCCGTCTAGCTGTGACAAGTGGAGAAGTGAGTCGTGCGCGTGGTATATATTGTGTACAATCTCGTTTAAGCCATATGCTATTACAGTGATACAATAAATGAATGAGCACCTAAAAATACACAACTCCCAATGAACTAATCAACTGCAGACGGTTATTCTACCTTATTACCATTTTGCATCTATCAATATAATCACTAAAATCCGAGCAGCACCCAGCGACCTTTACCAACGCTATCGAAAAAAAAAAGACATCAGTCTTATTTCTCTCTTTTACAATCAAACCACGCTAACTCCGCCCGTGTACACGAAGATACCCCCTCCCCACTCCCAGCCCCCGAGCACTCCCCCCTCCGTGAAATTTCCTTGCTCGCTATGCATACTACATGTACTTTCCCTACCCTACGGGACAAATACTAACCTGGAACTATTTTTAGTTCTCTTCCACTCTAGGTTTAATTCATGTTTTTCTTTCTTTGCTCAAATCTTTTTTTACGGCACCATTTCTGGCCCTCGGTGATTGAGAGCAAGAAGGCTCGTGTTGATATTACATAGCGAGCCCAATACCCGTCTGTTTGTGGTGGAACGATGTGAGCTGGCGAAATAATTCAGTGGTTGTGTAATTGGATGGAGAGATTTCTTCTTATCACGTGGTTTACAGTATAGACGTATGGTTAATTTGTTCCAGGGTCGCGTGGTTTAAATACCGAATGTTTTGAATCTTGCTAATCTAGAAAGAATATAATGATTAGGGTTTACATGTAAATAAGCACACAATTCACACTTGACTGCCACAGCAATCCCACACATCACGAGCACTCACACTACACTACCACCACACAATCACACACAACACACACACAGTCACCTACCACACACACACAACTACACCACCACACACCACACAGCCACGCACAACCACGTGACATTTAGTTGACACCCGAATATTTTGACTCCTTACTAATATTTCGATTTTCATTTAGGACACTTTGACTAACTCCGCATTCTTTCTTTCTTTCTTCCTTGCCAGCCCTCCGTTCAGGGATGTTGAAAAGGGACGCTACGCAGACCCCAGTTGACGCCCCTACGGCCTCCGATCCCGCCGAGAGATAAGGAATGGTTACCAAGTGCGAGAAGCGGAGATCCGAGACCTCTACCTCAAGGAACTGCAATACAAAATGCGGCAGGGACATCTGCGGTATTATTACCTACAGGTAGATGTTTGTTGCAGGTTTTAGTTATCCGTTTTCTTCTCACTGTTTGATTTAACCTTGTATTGGCTCTTTGATAAATGGTGCTTTACGCTTGTTCTGAATGAATATATATATCAGGTTGGTTCAGTTGATGAAAATTGCCTGGAGATTTTCAAAAGTTGGATGTACATAGATTGCATGTGATGCTGGTTTATATGTATTTCTTATACGGGAACATCTGGCTCATGATTTACAGGCCTGAGTAAAAGAAAATTAGTCCGTCTTGGGCCAGGACTTCTATATATTTTTGTTGGAGTGTGCGCGTAGAATGATAAGCATGTTACGTGATGTTTCGTGACATTTGATTCGAAGCATTTAACGTTGCCTTTTTGTAGTCGTTTGATAGGAAGTATGTTATGCTGTTAATTATTACAACCCATTTTCCAGTTTATACCTTTTGAATGATTTAGGTTATTAAATCCCGCCTTTATTGACGTTCTGTGTCCTTAGGTAAAAAGTGGGCCCATGGTTCGGGTCTACTCTCGGGCAGAATCCTGCGAACCATCTCAAAAGCAAGGAACGGGATTCGAGTGATGCTCTGTTCTCGTGCGAGAAACGGAGCGAACCGCCCACCGGAGGAGAATTGAATGCGCTACTTTTTCAAAAGAAGCAGTGGGAACGTATTTGGCTTCCGCGCACAACGAGGAAGACAAGAAAAGAAAAAGACATCACAAACACATAAGGTATTATTCCGAACATTCCTAATTCCCCTTCAAATGCACAAAACGAAAACAAAAATAACTATATAGAATTTCTACGCTTTTTAATGTTTTTCTTTCGCATTTTAACGCCATTTTTTTTCTTTTCTTTCTTAGATGTAACCCGCTGGACCCGCTTCGCCTCTTCTCCGGCGAGGTGACCGACAGCGACACCGGCAGCGTGTACATGAAGCTCGACCACACGCCCGCCGCCCTCCAGCCCCGCCCACAGGTCGTCTCCCCCAACCCCTCTCCCCTCATCGACATCTCCAACGGCGACTACAGCGACCTGAGGAAGCATCTCCAACAGATCTCCGCCTCGCACCTCCACCACCCCTATCACCACCATCACCACCACCATCACCAACAGACGCAGCACCAACAACCGCATCACCACCACCATCACCATCACACGGAGTTGCCTCCTTATCTCCAACAGTTCGCTCCTTCCTCGCGCCACTTTCACCATCATCACCAACATAGTTACGTTCAGGAGGGGCAGTTCCAAGTGAGTTATTTTGCAGTTATTCTTGTTATAATAATGACTGAGAATGATAATGATAGTAATGGCTGATCATCATTATATTATTATTATCATAATAATGATAATAATGAGATACTATTATTATTATTATTATTGTTATAATTGTTAATAATACTATTATTAATTATTTTTATTACTGTCATCATTATTATTATTGTTGTTATTACTATTAATATTATTAAATTTGCTGTTATTACTATTATTACGATTATCAATAAAGATAATGACTTCCCACGTTGTCCCATCTTCCGACATCTGCTAACACGCATCCCTCCCTTCCTCTCCCTCCAGACTGCAGTCCTTGGCCACGCCCACCTCCCCCGCCCCGAGCCCCTGGGCGCCACCGCCTCCCAGGCCAACCTCCTCCGCGGGCACCGTCACCGCTCCAGTTCTTCCTCCAGATCCAGGTAGGCCTACGTTCGGGGGCGTGGCGAATTGCGGTTCACTTCCCTCGGGCCTGGTTGATGGTCTATATATTTTTTTTTTCTTATTTTTCTTTGATTTGTTCTTTTCTTTTTTTTTTTTTTCTTTCTTTTCTAGCCTTGCTTAGCTGTTTTTTTTTTCTATCTTTTTCTTTGTTTTTTTCTGTCTTTTCTATCTTTGCTTTGCTCTTTTCTTTCTTTTCTTCTTTCCTTGCTCTTTTCTTTCTTTTGAAAAGGAGGCGAAATAATGGTTCCGGTCCTGCCATATAGTGTCTAATATCTCCCTTTTGTTTTCCTTTCCCGCGTTCCGTAGGTCTCGTTCCTCGTCGCGGTCGCGCCCGATGGCGGCCGTGAACTCCAGCCTCCTGTCCGGGAGCGCCGTCGCCTTCCCCACCACCACCGTCGCCGTCGCCACCACCACACCCACCACCATCACCACCAGTAGCCGAGGCATGGCGGAGGGACAGAGCCAGTCCCGCCTCCACGAAGTGCGAGGGACGCCTGTCTCCTCCTCCTCCTCCTGCGCCTCCGCCAACGCCCTCAAGAGGCACTCCATCGCCGACATCCCGACGGAGTCCTCCTTCCGCGGCGTGTGGGAGATCCAGAAGGCGCGGCGCGGGCGGTCGTCGAGCCACGAGCGGAAGCGGGACGGCTCGCGGGAGAGGGCGCGGCTCCCGAGGTACAGCCGCGACCGGAGAAAGGAGGGCGACGAGGAGCGGGCGGAGGAGAGCGGTCGGCAGGGCAGCGAGCGGGTCGAGGGGCGGAGGGCGAGCCGCGAGAGGGCGAAGGAGGAGCCCATCTACGAGAAGGTCGGCAGCGCCAACACCTCGGGCTCGAGTATCACCTCCAAGAAGTCCAAGAGCATCTCGGGCTCAAGCATCAGCTCGAGGAAGAGCCAGAACTCGTACGACAACGCCATCTACATGTCCATGAAGGATTTACGAGCGCACTGCCAGCTGGACGACGTCGAGGAGTGGGACAACGACCACCTGTACTCGTCCCTCCACGTGAGGATCTCGCCCGACCCCAACAAGACGCCCGTCCACATGCGCGACCACCTGTACGAGAACATGCTCTACCTGCCCATGACGGAGATCAAGAACGTGCTCAAGAAGTCGCTGGACCGCAGCCGCCCCCTGCCGGAGCCCCCGAACTTCGACGACCAGAGCGAGCTGGACGACACCTGCGCCTTCACCTCCGAGCCCCAGAAGGACATCCACAAGCCGGTGGCCATCAAGATCTCCAACGACCTGATCGCCCGCTTCGGCAAGTCCCCCAACGACCGGCAGCACCCGATGCCGCAGTACGGGCTCTACATCGCCTCGCAGCCGTCCAAGAAGCCGTGCAAGATGGCGGAGGGCTGCCAGGACGCGGAGGCCCACTCGGGCCACGAGGCCAAGCCGACCAAGGTGTACAAGAGCACGGGCCAGCACGTCCACATCAACTACTCCGAGAAGCACACGGAGCCCACCATCCCGCTGCACAACCTGAGGCCTCCTCCGCCGCCGCCCCCGAGGAAGTGCAAGTCCAGCCAGGGTTCGGGCAACACGAAGAGCAAGTCGAAATCAAAGGCTTCGAACAAACAGAAATCCGAGTCGCACCTTCCCGTCATCTACGAGAACACTCGCCAGGAGGAAGAGCTGACCCAGTCTGCGAAAAAGCGAAAACTACGACACAGTATGGCGATAGAATTCAGTTTCGACGACGACGATGGTCCCAGTAACAAATCATCTGAAGACGCCAGTGTCGAGGGTTCGACTCCTCGCGGCCATAACACATCGAGTAGTGATAACCCTGATAGCGGTGTCTCCGAGGGCATCACCACGCCTCTGGTAAGTCCCATGAGCGCCCCGAGAAGCCCTCAGACTCCGCGAAGTGACAGTTTACTTGAGGAACCCTGCACACCCCTCAGCATGGAGGACCTGCACTCGTTCAAAGAAAACGGTCAGGCCAAGCTAACGAAAGAAAACGTTGAGGCGAGCAGGAACTCAACCATTTTTTCTAATGTGTCCCACGACATCACTGATCCTCGTTTTCTCGAAAGTTTTCTCAAAGATGGACCATTCTCTCGCAGAAGTTTTGCAGGACAATCTAGTTTTCTAACTGAAGCATCCATTGACGACATGTTCCATCAGATCAAACCCCCATCTTTGCAGCAAACAATGTCTAGCATTTCATGTTCACACCTGGACTCCTTTTGTCTTAGTCCCAAACAATACTTCGACACGCTAAAGAGTAAAAGCGCTGATGTGAGTAAGATGCTGTTAAGTGCGGTAGGAAGGAATTTGTTTTCCGAGTCGACCAAAGTCTCCACGCCGAACCGCAGCGCCGCGCAGCTGGACACGTCCGCGTCGCGCCGCCATTCCGTGGCTGGCCTGGAGGACATTTCCCGTAGACTTTCGAAGATCGAGTTCAGCGACGACACCTCGCTGTGGGGGATGGAGGTGTCCGACCACTGCGACTCGGCGCTCAAGAAGTCCAAGTCGCTGCAGTGCCTGAGCTCGTCGGCGGCGCTGTCCCCCCCGCCCAACGTGCCCCTCATGGAGTCCATGGCGGAAATATTAAAGGACCCCGAGGCCAGATGCGACGTCCGGGCCTTCCGCGGCCTGGACGTCAATGGCGAGCAAACGAGCCCCAACACAAGTGAACAATCGGGACAATGGTGGGCAGGAGGCTGCGGGGAGCAGGACGAAGGGGGGAGGGAGCGGGGGCGGGCCACAAAAAGGGTCAGGTAGGGCAGGTGGGCATGCGGACGCTGAGGCCGGTGCGCCGGGCTCACTCGCGTCCTCGCCGGCGTCCCAGCACCACCCGCCCGCCGCTGCCCAGCCCAGCCCGACCCGCCACCTCTCCCCGAACAGAAACCCGACACTACCACTTCCGGTGGAGATGAGCGGTGGGCTGCATCTGGCCGTGGGGCACGAGGGTGCCTGCTTCTCAGTGCCTCTCGGGCCGTCATCGTGTGAGGACAGTGCGCGGCCAGACCTGAGTCAGTGTGTCAGTGGTTGTGGCGACTCCGATTCCCAGGACGGAAGCTTCAAGGACCCGCTGACGGCGCGGCAGCAGCGGCGCCGAGAGGAGAGTTCGTACCGCCTGCAGCGCATGTTACAGGACAATGCGCAGCCGCTGGTAGAGGACGAGCCCGAGGAATCCGTGAGCGCCGACTGGTCTATGGAAGCTCTGCTGGACGAGTACTCGACCTTCGACCACCAGGACCTCGACGAGGAGCTGAGCGAGGACGCGCCTCCCTCCCCGGACTCCGTGGCCGACTCCATCAGCCTGTGCACACTCGACAGCGACGCGGCAGACAACGTGTTCCTCAGCCCGAAGTTGGTCGAGAAGATTAAGCAAGTGTCGGAGGAGAAGATGTTGGCGAGGCTGAGGAAGTCGTTCCGCAGCAAGAAGGGGAAGGGCGCCCCCGTCGCCGCCGCCACCACGGCTCCGGCGGACGCCCCTGTGGCCCCGAAGGTGGGGATCTTCATGTTCGTGGACAACCCCATGTACTTGAGTCCCGACGTGAAGAAAGAAGTGAAGTTTGTGAGGCCCCACATCGCGAAGAACGAGGACGAGGGGCGCAACAACGTGTGGTACGTGGGGAACCCCATGTACCACTCGCCGGAGCCGAGCAAGGTGAGGAACGTGAACTACGAAGTGCGCCAAAAGGTGTTGTGCGAAAAGGAGAACATGCGGAACTCGCGCATCGCGAAGGTCGTGTGCCAGAACAACAACATCAACCGGAAGCCGCTGGCGAACATCTGGCTGCAGAGCAACCCGTGCTACGAGTCGCCCGACATCAAGACCCTGCAGGCCAAGCAGGCCGGCGCCGCCCACCGCCTGGCAGCCAAGGCGCCCGAGAGCACCTACCTGACGCCGATCCCAGTGAAGCCGCCGAGGGAATTCGCGCCGCGCCCGACCGTCGCGCCGGCGCCCAACCCCGCGCCCGAGGACGACGACGACATCCTGGACCACCAGAAGTTCCTCGACCACGAGTACTGCACCATCCCCGGCGACGAGTCCGACTCGTGGGTGACCCAGTCCACGGCCTCGAGGAAGAGCGACTCCCCCTTGGCCAGGAGGAGCCTCGAGTTCGGCGCCTCCTGCAAGACGCCCAAGGGCAAGAGGGGCGCCAAGGTGGCCCGCTCGCCCGTCACGCCCTCGCGCATCTGGAGGCAGACCACCAAGAACCAGCACTCCACGCCCAGGAAGTACCAGGGCACCCTCGAGAAGAACCTGGACGCGGGGGCGCCCCTGGGCACGCGCTCGCACAGGACCCCCCGGGCCGTCAAGAGAGGGAAGAAGACCCGCGAGGCAGTCCAGGTAGGTCGTGGTCGTTTGTTTTAAGTGACTCATTTTAGCCAGGTGTGATTAGTGCCAATCTAGTTAAAGTTACCTGTTTCTCTGCTTGCGTTGCGAAGTCACATTGCATATGATATATTTTGTTAGTAGGTTTTTGACACTCTTTCTCTGGTCCCTCAGAACGACTCCCCGTCGCCCACGCCGCCGCCGCTCCCCGCGCGGCCGCACCACACCCTCCGCCACTACGACAACGACCGCTCCAACGACACCGTGGGCCTGGAGGACACGAACGACTTCCACCGCCAGCCGCAGGACGACCTCGACGACACGTCCAAGTTCCAGCTCCCGCCCGACAGCGTGTACGAGAGCATCACCTTCCTGGAGAGGGGCGTCGACCCCCGCGACCTGCCGCCGGGAGGCACGACCCGCCGCCACCACCTGCGGTGTCCGTCGGGCGACACCTCGGCCCTGACGCTCTCCCCGGCCCTCAGCCGCCCCTGCTCCTCCAGGGGCAGCCGCAGCAGGAGCCATTCAAAAAACGGGCTGAGGTCAGGTTCCCCTTGCGAGGGGAGCCTGAGGGCGCGGGCGCGGAAGGGCTCCACCACCAAGAAGGTCAGCAAGAAGTACCGCGCCAGAGACGTCCTCGCGGGAAAGGGTGAGTACCACTGATTTTTTTTTTTTTTTTTTTTTCAACGTGTCTTTATTCGTGTCTCTGTTGGGAATGCGTCCAGTGCGTCTCTGACGGAAAGGAAACGTTGAATCGATCTGATTCCTTAACGAAAGATTTGAAACGGAAAAAAAAGATATTTCTCAGTTCAGTGTATCCATGAAACAAAGAAAATGATAATAAATAAATAAATAAAAAATATAGAATATCTGCTCGACCTCGGAAGACCTCGCTTCCCCTCAAAACTGAAAAATGCCTCTCCTCGTGTCTCCCTCAAAGCCCTCCTTGCCGCCGCCGTCGCCTCCGCCTCCTCCTCCTCCGCGTGCCGTAGCCAGCGCCAGTGTCGTTCCCTTGCTTTCGAACTCGCGAACTCCCGTCAGAACCCGGATGGTGACCTGAAATTGACCTCCGCCGACCTCGCTGCCCCCGCCGCCGCCCTTGGTGTCTTCCCCATGCGAGTCACTTCGTTTTGACAAGGATAAGGGGGGGGGGTGTTAGCGAGTGAGTGTGAGAGAATGAGTGTGTAAGTGATTGAATGAATGAAATAAATGAGAGAATGAGAGAATGAGTGAGTGAATTCATGAAAGGGAAATAGAAAATGAGAGAGAGAAAAAGAGAAAGAACGAGAAAGAGAGAATAAGTGACAAGAAAATGAGAGAGAGAAAGAAAGAAAGAAAGAGAAAGAGAACGAGCGAACGAGAGAAAGAGAGAACAAGAGAACGAGCGAACGAGCGAACGAGACCGAGGGAGGTCAGCGTGTCAATCATTCATGACAGCAGTTACGGGTCCTGTCAACTACTGTGAAAGACTGATGAGGGAAAAAAAAAAATGTCTTGTTTCCCAATTAACACGCGACAACCACCCACTATGTTTGTACCTTTTTTATTTATAGATTTTTGTCTGTGTAGTTTCGTCTGTAAATTATCAGTCTATGATTAATTAACTATGCTTTAGCTGTCAATATAAGAAAACTCATCTGTGATACTGACGGTTGCCTAATTACAAAAAAGGCACGTAATTGTACATAGAAATTTGATTGTGTAAATATGTAAATGAAAATCTTAATAAATGTAAAAGACAAAATTCCAAAATTTCCTTTTTTTTAAGTACTTGAACCCAAAGTGTTCAACCCCGCCCATTTTCGAAAAAGAAAACCGAAAGCAAAGATGAAATAGATAATGACAACAATGATAATGATAAATGAAATGAGGATAATGATAACACACGGTAATAACAATAATAATAATAATAATAATAATAATAATAATAATGATAATAATGATTCTACTACTACTTCTACCACTAATAATAACAATAATAATGTTTAGTGTCCTGGTACTAAATCCTTCAATCAACTTCCTAATAATGACCCAAGTATGAACTTTGACCTCATATTCTGACATGACCTCGATTTGAGCAAAATTGTTATTAGCAGTAACTTCCTGTTCGCCTCTGGTCAAGCTAGACGGTTTACTAAATTCTCATTTACACCGTCGTGTTAATTACTGTCATTTTCAGTTAGATCACGAGGTCATATATGTCTTGAATGTTAATTAAGTTAAAATAAATTAAAGAGAAAAAGAAAATTGGTAGTTAATATGGGTTGATTTTTATTAAGATTCAAATTAACGGGGTTTCTGTTTGTTGTTGGTGATGTCGTTGCCTGTTTTTACTTTTTAATTGTTATTGTGTGAGCATTGTGGAAATTTGTTGCTAATTGTTGTTGCTGTTATTATTGTTGTTTTTATTGTCTTTTATATTACTGGAATTGTTATTATTATATTATTATTATCTTTGTTATTGGTTATTTTTTATTATTATTGTTTATTGTTTATTTTTTTTAATTATGTCTAACGGAACACGCTAATTCACGACAGAAACGCAATAAAGTTAAAATAACAATGAAAAAAGAAAATAAGAAAATAAAATCAACCTTCACATTTATAACTAAACATCAAGTCAAAAAGAAAATAGAAACAGGAAAAGAAGAGTAAATTCTGAAGAAGAAGAAGAAGAAGAAAGAGAAGAAAAAAAAAGAAAAAGAAAATAATGAGGAAACTGTTAAAGTACGGCGGCCAGATGTCAGTTACCGTCTATTGGGGGGGGGGGGGGGGGGGGAGGTTAGTTAGCATGTTTAAAATCTCTCCCCTCCTCCCCCTCCCCCCCTCCCTACTCCCCCTTCCTACCCGTCTTTCATCCTTTGCCTTCCCACAAACTTTGCCTTCTTTCCTTCTTATTTTTTTTTAGTGTTTTTGTTGTCCTTTTTGTTTCTCCAATTTATTTTTCTCCATTTCTTTTTTTTTCTCTTATTATTTCCTTCCTTTTCATCCTTCTCCTCCTCCTTCTCCTTCATCTCCTCCTTCTCCTTTTCTCTCTCTTCTCCTACTCTTCTCAACACAACGGTTTTTGGGATTACTCCTTTTTGAAATCTGCCCCCCCCCCTCTCTCTCTCTCTCTCTCTCTCTCTCTCTCTCTCTCTCTCTCTCTCTCTCTCTCTCTCTCTCTCTCTCTCTTCTCTCTCCTCTCTCTCTCTCTCTCTCTCTTCGTTTTATTTTTTTTGTAAATTTTTCTTTGAATGAAAAAAAAAAAAATCCTTTCTATAAAACCTATTCCTATATTTCCATTTTTTACTCTTCCCTCTCCCCACCTTCCCCATCCTATCTCCACGCCCCCTCTTTGTATCTATTTTTTTATACCCATTTTATCCGCCTCTTAGTCCTCTCTATCCATCTATCCATTATCCCAATTACTCTTCCTATTCAACCTTCCTTCCCCATTTCTCTTCCCTTCCAAAATTCCCTCGGTAATATAGCCATCCCGTGATTGTTTATATCTGGGGTCCCTTCACGCGCCCTGTGATTTTGCTGTCAGTGGATCCCTCCCTTCTCCCTCCCTCTCTTTCTTTCTCTTCATCTCTC